ATAATAAAAAAGAACACTGAGGTGGCATAACAAGAGCTAAAAAATTGGAACAACTTCTTTTTCCCTGCAGAGTACACTAGGTGTCTGAAGAGACCTCCAGAAATCTTTGGGATCAATCTGAGGTGGAATCCATGCAACAACAAAAATAGTTGGATGTGTCCCTTCTCATCTTCACCAATGCAGAAAAGTATAAGTTGTGGGAACCTGCACTGCTTACAGGATGGGTTATGTATATGTTTGTATGTTGTGTGTGTGTGTGTGGGGGGGGGATTTTGATAATTGTGTAGGTCAAACAGAATTCCAACCTACACAACGACCATTACAGTGAGTTATGATAGTATTGAGTCTGATTTAAGCCACCATAGTTTACTATCAGTATGCCATCTTATATGAGAACATGTAAGCTAAGAACTCAAGTTTCTCGTTCAGCAAACAGTCTGTTAAGGTGTAGGACAGAAGTGCACTTCTTTGGTTTACCAGTATAACTTCCATTCAAACATAATTAGCGATTATGGCGACTTTTCTCATTTGGGCTCTGCAGTATGTTAACACATCTTCTACATGTGGGACAAAAATGCTTTACAAGCGCTTGAGACTGTTCACAATTCATGGCACATAGTTTGATCATACCCAGGCTGGAAAAAAGTTTCATTTCCATACAGAAAGATGTCATAAAAGAATAAATGCAAAACTTTTATCACTCTCAATACTAAGGGGAACTTCTATGGATTAAGTGATTTTGACTATTATGTCCTTAGTTTATGCTTTTGCTCACTGGCATCTTCTGGAGTGCATCCACTAGCTATGATCTTAGCTATGATCTCAAGCCAGCAGCCAGCATGGTGCAGAGCCAAAATCAGAAAAACAGTTTTAAAATGTTGTTTAGCCATGAATGAGACTGAATAACTTTTCACCACTCACTATTTTTCATGATTTCACCACAAGAATAAAATTAAATAACCCTGTGTGAGCCAATCTAAGCAATGAATATAGGATTCAAATTTGAGAAGTTAATTTCTACAAATTGCTTCCATTACCTGTTAGAGTGAAAATCAATCTGTTGTTGTGATAATATTTAAAAAGATATTAATGCATTTACTCATTTCTTAACAGAGCTAGTTGCTTGTTAAGTACTAGAACAGGACTCTGGGAGACCCAGATTCAAAGCCTAGCTCTGCCATGGAAACCTGAAGTCTCACTCTCTCAGTGTCAGAGGAAGTCAATGGCAAACATCCTCTGAAGGAAATCCAAGTATATGGTAGCTATAAGACAGAGTCAAGCTCAATAACAACTTGCTTCTTGTTTTTCATTACCTTAAAAACAAAGTCTTTAATATTGGAAAAGAAATAGCATGAAAAAGTATTTTGTAAAATCCTAAAAAATATCTGCTTAAAAATGTCTAAATGTGCCAAAGTACAACTCCCAAAAGTGACTCTTAAAATTACTCTTGGTAACTGGTGGTCTACATATCGTGATGTGGTAAATCTGCTATAAATTTCAGTTCAAACTTTAAAAGTACTAATACAGATACTGTACCCTCTTTCCCAAAAGGGATTCAGAACCTTGGATGGCACTCTTGATATCTGTAGTGAAACCCAAGGCACCAGTAATTTGCCCACATATGAATGCATTACATTGCTTTTAGGATCTAACTTTTTTACAATTTCATTCCAAACAAAAAAGGACAGGTAATTATATCACTTTTAACTCATTACTCTCAACCTCTCAGTGGGATATAAATGAAACATGTATGAAAATATCTATCTGGGCACTAAACTGAATTTTTTTCCCAGCCATCTGGAGGGTTTGGCATTTCAGAGTCCTTGTGTTCAAATTCAGACAGCTACTCCATCCCCCAGCCTGCTGCCTTCTTATATGCACAATATTTGCTCTTCCGAATCCAGTCAATTGCCTTCTGAATTAGAGTGTCAATCAAACACCTGGATAATCTTTCTGGAAACTAAATCAGAGGCATTTGTAGAAATATTGTCATGAATAACTAGCAGGAAAGAAGTATTGCCATTTATTAACACTACCCATAATATGCTCATTTTATCTCTTGGGAAGAAATGTCTTCAAACAATCAGAATCTTTCCAAAGCAGAACATGTTCAGTATAATTTTATTGTGAGGTAGTTTTAAAATGCTTTCAGTCTCTAGGCAAGGGCTGCAATATAATTGCAAACCTAATCTTTGATCATGTTTGAGAAACAAGGTGTAATCTATTTTTGCTGAATTCCATTAACTATATGCAAAGGAATTTTGAAAGCCCACTAAATAAAGTTACATCTGATGTTGTTTGTTGGCTTGGGAGTAATAAGCAAAAGTAGATCCTGATACTTCAAAACATGATAACAGCTGCAGAAATATTACATGTGCAGAAATGGAAGAGTGATTCATTACTAACAGAAAATGTGTAAATTGTCTGTTTTGACTAAAGAAAAATAATTGAACATATTTTTGAAAGATTTGACCCCCCTGATGAATTTTTAGGGGGAAAACAATTGGGATCTGATAATTGTTGATTTGTTCATTAGTATGAGCTAATGACACAGATGAAGTTAAACTTTTAGTCAAGACAGAGATGGGAATCTAAAAGTTAAAATTCAACTGCAGAAAAGATCGTGGAAAGGCATATTTTTCTATTTTGTTAATTGTAGTTTTTGCTATATACAAGTTAGTTTAGATTTCTGTGTAAGTATAGGATTCGATAACCCCACCACCACCACCTTTTTTGTTGTTTAATTCTCTATCTATCCAGTAATTTGGTGTGGGTTGGGATTTTTTGTAGTAAGTTTTTGTTGCATATTTTTACTTATATAGATTAAATTAAATAACAATAAACTATAAAAATTAGATCCTGAATGCAAAACATAATGCTGGAGTCTTCATGGCTACACAAAAGCTACACAAAAGCCCAATTTCATAATGCCGACTCTTTGGCTTAGAAATGGAGATGAGCACCACTCCCGAGTCAGACTCGAGGGGAAACCTTTACCTTTACTTTAGGTCAATGCCAGCATCTGCAATTCAGCTTAGACAAATTAGAAGCCAATGTAGTTCTTGGGTGTAGCATTATATGTTCACTAAAATTCATCACCATGAACTCCAGGTGGAAAACAGCAGGGATGGATAAAAGGCATTGAATTCAGAAATGTTTATTAATGGTGTTTAAAAGATAAAGAGGCTGCCCCGATTCCTAGCACAAGCTCTTAAACTGGCAGTAGTTGTTGTGAGCTAAGCTGCAAAATGTGTTATGTTACTGATATTGATGTGGGTAAGGCCAAAATGCTCGTGGGCAGGGTCAGGCAGTTTATAAATACAGTGGAGAGCAAATGTATAATCCATTGGGAAATTTGCCAGTGCACGTCTTGTTAAGATAAATTGGAACTGCGCATGAGCAGAAACAAGTTCTGTCCTTTAGTTAATTTTGATAGAGGGCATTCTGTGCAGATTGGGGAACCATTATACTGATCTATGCTTAACCCGTGGCCATACCTACCAGTGAAGAATGCTACAATAAAGTGCTTTGATAGTATATTTCTGGAAAATTGAGTTGTGATCAAATGAGCAAAGCAGACAGGTTTTTTTTAATTTGGTCTTATGTTACACATTACTGTAACAATCTCTTCCTCAACTGCCATCTTGTAGCTGCTGTTCTACCTGGATGCAATGAAGAGGGAAGGGAAAGGAAAGACAAGGCTCTCTTCATCAAGACTGAGGGTTTGTCTACACTGACAAAAAAGAATCTGTTCGGCATTACATTTTCCTAGTCTGCATTAACCTTGTAGTGACCCATTAATGCCACACATATTTATTTATTTATTTATTTATTTATTATTTCAGGCATTTAGACCCCGTCCTTCTCGACCTCTGAGGAGGGACTAAGAATGGCTTCCAAACACACAACAATTCAATGCCAAGCATGATATAAAACACAAAATAAATATATCCATATACATTAAAATAGTTATATATATATATATATATACACACACATTAGAACTAGTTCACCAGATTAAAATTGCCATATTAAAATTATCGTCCAAAACAGTCCAAGTACAATCCAATAAAATCTTGTCTTTCCAGTAAAACAACTATTCTGTGAATGCTTGATCCCATAATCAGGATTAAGTTTCTTCCGGAAGGTCAGAAGGGAGGGGGCAGATCTAACCTCATTAGGGAAGGAGTTCCACAGCTAAGGGGCCACCACAGAGAAGGCCCTGTCTCTCATCCCCACCAAACACGACTGCTAAGGTGGTGGGACTGAGAGCAGGGCTTCCCCGGATGATCTTAAGATCCTAGATGGTTTGTAGGGGAGATACGTTCAGACAGGTAAACTGGGCCGGAACCGTTTAGGGCTTTATAGGTTAACGTCAGCACTTTGAATCGAGCCCAGAAGCTAATAGGCAGCCAGTAGAGCTGCCGTAGCAAGGGAGTTGTCCACTCCCTGTATCCCGCTCCTGTGAGCAACCTGGCTGCCGAGCATTGGACTAGCTGAAGCTTCCGAACAGTCTTCAGAGGCAACCCTGTGTGGAATTGCAAACATCATGGTGAGATTGCCATAACTCGCCTCACATTTCCCTCTCCTGAATTCACCCCAATGCTATGAGTGTTCCACATTTCCAGCCTTTCATTATTTTCAGTCACATGGCTGTGGATGCTCCACTTTTTTTCACCATCATGCATGTCAATAAACATATTTCTTATTAAGTAGAGGTGCACTAAAACTGATATACTGATATGCTATTATCTGCACAAATGAACCATCTTCAAATAGGATTTACAAGTCAACTTAGGGAAGAATCACTTCCTGGTGAGAATGCTTACCTCCCACCGAACAGTTCCACTGCACTTAGCACTAACCCCTTCCTCCAGCTACACAGTGAGGCCATGCTAAACTTGAGGACTTGTCATGTGCCTAAAAGCCTGAATTATCTGAAAACCTGGGGGTGGCGGGCAAGGTTTTCAAAATGGAATGAAGACCCAAGAAATGCATTGCAAACAAATTGTCATGGAAACCACGTGACAGGATCAGAGCACTTACAAAGGTGGGTATGATTTTTCAGTCTATGTAGATAAGTCCTAAGAGCCTGCCAAGTCTATTTGCCTCTTTTCTCTGCACTGTATCAATCTAAACCATTCTCATAAGAAATGTAAGAACTTATGCCTGTCTTCTTACTGCGTCCTTCTTCCCACACTCTTGCAAAAGTTAAATGTGTTTATTACTGAACTAATATATCAAAGCTTAGGAAGTTTGCATAAGTCAGTCTCATGGATTTTCATTGGTGCTAACACTAGGATTCAAGTTAGAGAGTAGTGGTAACAGCATGGTTGTGGCTTAATATACACTGGCCCATAAGCCACTTATTTGTTCCAGACTATGATCTGAAGACCACTAGTGTAGACAGAACATGCTTATAGAGGAACATTCATCACAGTGATCCATCACTTCTGACATTGCTGAAGGCCAGGGAAGAAGGTAAGTCGACATTTCTCAGCTAAAGATAAATAACAGGTTATTTTAGCAGCATGTAAAATCCATTTCAATCTACTTTGGGCATGTTTTATATGTTTATAAAATTGCAAGTAGTCACTTCAGGAGTCTTAAGATTAAGAAAGGTTAAAAATCAAATCGATACATGAGATATGAAAGTTTGAAAGGTGAGTCATTTTCGCACCAATGCATAAATGAAGCTACAGTCATTGCTTCCAAATGTAGATTGTGCCCCGATTGCAACTCCTGTATATCTGAGAAATAAATCACTTGCATGCCAGAAGCCCTTTACATTAACATTTTACTCTTGGACCGCAACTAGACATTCTTCAACATAGTACGTTCGAGAGGTTTTTCATCAGTACTTATTGATCTGCCAAAAGGCGAAGCAAAATAACAACATGTATTCCCCATGAATAAGAGAAGATTTAATATTTTAAGTGTTCATCCTTGGAGGGAAAACAAGAAAAATCCATTTAAAAGCTAATTTATAAAGCAGTGTCACTTTAGGGAAATATATTCTTATTCAAGAAAAGGATTCTTTCCTTCGTGTTAATAAGCATGCATGGTTATAGAACTTCTTTTCACAAAATGCAAAGCATGTTCACTGAAGCACTGCACTCTTATATTCAAAAACATTAACTTAACTCCTTGACTGGCTTTGGGAATGAAAAGTCATCTTTTGGTATGGATGGAAACAAATTGCCCTCTAAAAGGTTGCTGGAATACAATGCTCATAATCTTTCGTCACTGACTGTGCTGGTCAAACCAGAGAAGAGTTGCATTCCTAGAATCTGGAGGGTCTTATGATCTCCATTCCTGCCATGAGGTGATATTTGAATCCCAATATCACATGGGTCTGTTTTACCAGCATTGTACTTCTCTGAGTAACACCTCTTGCTATTCCCATGCTATCTAATGGATCCATATTGGGAAAGGTTTAAAATAATCTGTCCATCTGTATGTGGACTACCAACCACATAGAATCAATATTCAGTTGCCAAGAAAAACTATGGATCAGACTCTGAAATTCATTACATTTTTATACTGAATGAGAAAATGTTATTTCACAAATATTCTGAGGGATATTTAAAGGAGCTGGGGATGGCTCTACCATTATGCATAGAGAAATAGCCTTCTTGGATGGCAAATACTGAATAGCGAGGAGAAGCAATGATGTAATAGAGGACAGAATTATGTGTGGCATACATACTGCCAACCTCAGTAAATTGGAAGATACTGCATACCTTCTAACATATTAGAGATGAAAACTGTGACACCTGTGGCAAGCAACATCAGAATGTGGTCAAAATGGCAAAAGCTATTAATGAAGAAGGACGCACAAGCAAAGAGAGGCTGCATCAGTTTGCTGTGTCTTAACCTACTGAAATGTGCAAGATGTCCCCAGCTATCTTCTCTTCTATTTAATTGAGCATAGACTATTTTTGTACTTTGGACTCAATTTGTAGCAATTAAACTATACTGAAGAAAAAGGGGAAAGTGGAAGGAGGAGAAAAAAATGCACCTTTTTAAAGTAGTTGAAAAACAGCAAAAGAGTAACTGGAACTGTCCCTGACAAATTGGGACATTTGAAGAATATGATACTGTCCCATAGCAAGAGATTCAACTGCCCATCTGATCTGTTTCTGAGAAGAAAACTGATGGGTTGGGGGAGGAGGTTTCCTCCTCAAATGCTGCTTTCCAGCTTTTGGAACCCTGTCACACATGCTGCTGGAATTGCCACGAATAGTTATGGATTGTGATGATGTTGGCAGCATCCACCCAGGGGTCATAGGGACCTGTCGCCCAACGCTCTGCAACAACTTGATTTCCCCCCACCACATCACGGGGGGGGGGATAGTCTCTTTAAGCCGGCTTGACCCATCTTTCCTTTTGGAAAGATGGGGAGACTCCTGTTGTGTTCCAGCATGAGACACAAGGTGGGATAAAAAAGGCTAAACACAAGATAAGCCAAACCCTCAAAAAAAGGTTTAAGCATAGAATAAATAATTGTTACATTAAAACACTGTGACATTATACAAGTATAAAAATACTTTTAAAAGATTGCTGTACAGTTATAAATACACATAATGAAATGCTCCCTGAAACCAATGAATAATTACAAGTCTATTTGAACAAAAAGATCTTTGCTTCCTGGCAAAAGGAGAGCAGCAAGGGATCAATCCAGCCTCCCATTGAAGGGGATTCCACAGGCTTGGACCTGCCACTGAGAAGACTCCTTGCCATGTCCACACCAAAGAGGCCTGTGTACATTTGTCAAAAGAAGACAACAGGCAAACCACATTTTGATATTTCTTGCCCTGTGAAATCCATGGAGCAACTGGGTAACTGGGAGACACATACACAGAGTTATTAAAGGCCAACTTGCATTGAAAAGTATTTACCATTGTCAGCAGAAGCAAAGTGGGATTGGGGAGTAAGGATTTATGTGGCATTCCACATTCTAAGAGTGGCCAACCCTCTCCCTGTTCCTACCCAATACGCCCATAAAGTTGTGGGACTGAGAGAAAATCCTCTCCTGCCAATCTGGAAATTCAATCTATGAGGAGAAACAGCCTTGCTTTCCAATGCATGAGATACTGTCCAATTTTCAGTACAGGAGAAGCATACATAGAAATCATCACTGGGGCATGCCAGAAATTTGCATGGCAAAATTATGCTTTTGAATGCCTTGCTTCATTTCTCTGGTACCCATTCCCTACAACTTTCACAAGAGCAGAATTTAGCACAAAGAAAGTAGCTATTCATAAAGTTAGCCACTGCATTGTCTTCTCTCAATAACATTAATAATTTCATTTAGCAGAACCACATGCAAAAGAGTCTGATTTTCCTTGGTTTCACTTTAGAAGTAATGCCACTGTCACACTGTTAAGAAAAGAAGAAGCAGCTGCAGTGAAATTGACCTAGAGGGTGAAATTTATTATTATATTGTAATGAAAGTAACATGCTTTTTTTGACAAGTCCGACAAGCTAACAAGCTGGCTCCTGTGATTTTCCACAAGCATGCAGTACCTTAAAGCAACTTATCTTGTAACCTGTGGAGAAGAAAATACACAGCTCAGCAGCTTCAAATGTAAAGACTAGAGGAGCAATTAACCTGCAGAGATAGTCCAGCGTGTGGAGCAGAATGCAATTAGTTCACCTTATCTACTCAAAGGAATTCTCACAAACTTGGGCCACTCAAAGGCTGAACTTTAAAGAAAATAAACACTAGTGTGTGTTTATAAAAAAATTAAAAACAAGGTATTGATGATAAGAGGGCAGGAATCAACATGATCCTTGAGGGTTTGGACCTCAACATTTAAGAATTAGGGGATTATATTTTAATTTATGATCTGGAATAAATGAGAACTGAAAAACCCAACTTCCTTTCAATTAGGTTGCAGCAGAGAATAAGAGAATTGAGCAATGCCTATTCTGACATCTTGGCTGAGACTTCATCTTCATTTGGTGCCTTCTTTCCCAAAACTACATCAACTCCAGCTGGTCATTACTGTTTCTTAGATTACAATCTGAAATGGAGACAAAGAAGAGCAAAATTTCAGATCTAACCCCTCATCTCGAGCCCCATGAGCTTACAGCATCCTGGACAAGTTTTGATTTTTACTGATAATTTTCTTGGCTGAAATGCAAATAGGGTGGGTGTTCTATTTATTTTATTTTATTATGCAGTCCTAACTCAAAGCTATGTGAATTATAGGTTGTTAAACAGAAAGTTCTTCTGCCAGCTGAATGCTTTTCTGCTGGTAGAAATGTTGCTCTGCCAGCTGAACCCTCTTTAACTTCCAGCTGATCTCAGAGATCTTTCAGCCAAGCAATCTGCCACTGGAACTCCCCTGATAGCTAAGAGGAGAGGAAATGGGAAAGGGGTGGGCTGAAGAAGGTGCCAAGTTACACTAGATCCAAACCTCCTGCAGGCCGGGGATACAGATCAAGCACCAACACAAAGCTAGGCCAAGGTATGGGAAGTTTCTTGCCCGAGAGATAGTTGGATTCAGTACAACTTCAGCTGGCCTATTTTGGCTCAGCAATTCCTTAACCATTTTGCCTAGTAAGGAGGACTTGCCAAACTGTAATCCTATCCATGATCAATTCAGATTAAGCACTACTGCAAGTGAGTGCAACTTTCAAGTAAATACACTGGGGTTGTACCTTATACTTGTTGTGCAACACAAATTCAAAATCAGCACTGTTGAAATGGACAATGCACTCCAAATTGTTAGATTCAAGTAGATTCTATAGTTTGAGAACATCTGCCTTATAAACATTATTGCATGATCTAAGGTAGAGAAAGTAGAATGTGGTAAACAAACCACCTGGTCACTTTGGATGAAGTGCTTAAAACTTAAGCTGCCCTCAGGGGTGTCTGGTTTCTAATCCTTTCCCCTATCCTTGGGTATTGCTGCACCTGCTTCTTTTCCATCTCCCTCCGGCTTTCATGTTACAATGCTTCGTGCTGCTTCATCTTTGCTCACCTGGTCCCCAGGGGCTCTTTCGCTTTGCTGCACATCGTCTTTCATTGTAAAGTGTGATTTTTATTTCCAGTTCATGCTCCCCTTCTTTCTCATATCCCATTAGAGTGAAGTGCTGATGGGATCAAAGAGAAGGAAAAGATGAATGGAGCCTTCAGTTGTTGCAGTTTGATGAAAATGATAGAAGGCCCCATGCAAGAAAAGTGAGTGCATATCAATGAGGTGCTCTCTGCAAGATGTTTGGCCAAGAAAGAACCCACTTTTTTGTGGAATGATGAGACATGACACAGTGTGGTCAGCAAATCACTTGCATGCTACAAAGTATTTTCAGCTGGAACACTCCACCAGGAAAACAAAAAAGAATAGATGCGCCTTGGGGTTTGAAAAGAAATTCACATTAAACCAACTTTGAAGGAATGTATCCTCTTTGTGGTTCTGACAGCAACTGATGGAAAAAATGCATGCATCTTTCATTTTCCTGTCTACATGAGAAAACTGTATCAGAATCTTTCTCTTTTTGTTTCACCTGCATGCAAACAAATACCCACAACCACTGACTAGAAAATGTGTAAAACTGTATATATTAGGAAAAGTATGAGCCAAATGAAACACAATTTTGGGCAGAAAATAAAGGAAATGTTAGACAACTCAATATGGAACTTGGTTGGGATGGAAATGCTGGTGAGATTCAGAGAAGTGTAATGTAAGTGAAAAATGACAGATTTCCTATATTTTATTGATTTTGTTAACACTGTAGTCTAATCCAGATCTCGTACAGAGTTTCTAGGCACTGTCCAGACAAGTTACATGCAAATTAAATATCAGGAATAACTTTTTCCTTCCACAAAGTCAAGTACTACTATGATGGTTAGATGCATAAAACACAAATTGAGTGACATTCTGAAAGGATTGATAACTGACCACTCTTATTGGTGTCACGGGTCTCTTCTACAATGACCATTAATAGTGAGGTGATCTGGCATCGCAGATGTCAAATCTGTCCTACATGGTGGCCAGACAGTGTCTCCCTCAACCACCTTGGAATTGAAAGGGAGTCCTGACTGCCAGACCATGCCAAAGATGGTTCTCTGCCACTGGGCAACCACCTAAGGGATTCTCCCGTCACTTGTGTCATGGCTTGCACCAGACATAACAACTCACTTAACTGGTCTTTGGCACTCAGACTGACTTTGGCAAGAGTACCCCCCACATTAAGACAGCTGGGAGGGGGGAACCCTCCCCTGCCCTCTCCATTGGCAGTTGGGCACTCTGGCTAAAACTCGTCAAAGAGCTGAAGATCAGATAAATGATCTGTTGCAGCTGGTGACAGCTGTGACATGGGGAGGACCGACAGGGAGGTGTTTTTCCATTTTCCCAGGCTACCTGAGTCTAGGAATGAAGGATAGAAGTCAAGATAGCTGTAGCCAGTTCTAGTTAGTTGAGTTAAAGCCTGAATCCTGGGGGACAGCTGTGAGGTAGCCTTGTCCTAAGATCCGGATCTCACCAGGTGTTTAATTCAGAACAAAGCAAGGAATCCCTGCTTTGTTCTGAATTAATTTAGTTTTACCAGCGGTGGCATTTGGACTAGGTTTTAAGGCCTGTCTGGATGGTCCCTGAGAAACATCAAGAATTGACATTTAAATGTAAGTGTGCCCCCCAAGCTTCATTTAAACACCTTTTTTTTTGTAAGGAACAGTACTACTAGCAGCAGTGTCATCCAAGACTGCTGATAAAGACAGAAGAAACATCAACTGGGGCACTTAATGTATTCTCACACAACTGGTCTGAAAATCTGATTGCTAGGGGCCTAAATGTAGATGAGTCACTAGAGCAAAGATGGACAAATTGCAGTTCTGGGACCATATGCTCCCTTCCAAGGCTGTTTGTGTGCCCCCCCCCCAAATCTCCCATCCTCTTTAGACTCCAGATCAGTTTTCCTGCCACCCAAAAGGTTGGGTTGTCATTTCTGTGAGTTTCCAGGAGTAACAATTCATTCTATTAAATAGCTTACAGGATCCCTCCCATTCCTTGATATACAAATGCCCATTTTACAAAACCAGAACTGAACACTTCCTTTTAAAAAAAAACTGGATCAACAGTTGGAAGGTTCTCAGCAGGTCCAGAAGCTAAAACCTGGAGCTCAAACTGAACAAATTATCCCATCCCTTATCGACAATCTGGATAATGAAGGTGGAACCTTGGGGCTTTTCCATCTGTAGCTGGACCTGTCAGGTCCAACCAGGCTTGCTGATGGTCAGAAACCATGGAAGCTATAGCCCAGTAATTTCAAAAAGACACATTGCCATCTTTGGTTTACAGGTTGGGCTGGTGGAATGCTTCAGTTGCAGAATTGGCTCAAATGGTCAAATTCCCATGGGTTCTAAATGACAAAATAATTGAAGCTATTTTGAAAAAAACTGTATTGTCGAAGGCTTCCATGGCTAGAATCACTCGGTTGCCTGAGGATGCTTGCCATAGATGCAGGCGAAACATCAGGAGAGCATGCTTCTAGAACATGGCCATATAACCCGAAAAACCTACAACAACCCAGAATGGAAACTGTTCAAACATTACTGAGTAATAAGAAATACAATGATATTATAAAGTGTTGTTATGGTTATCAGTTAGTAGGATTAATTAGATAGATTTGTGATGGTAAAGCAATCTTTTTTGTTTTACTTTTCATTAATGTCAGAATTGAGAGAGAGGTTACTGGGCCCTGCTGCTTTTTAAGTTATATGTCTTTCTTTTTCTTTTTCTCTATTTTTCATCTCTGTTCCTGTATTTTTTGAATGCCTATTAATGTGATTGTAAATTAGACTGTTCCTGTTAAAAGTAAACCAATAAAAAGAATATGTTTACATTACTCATAAAATAAAATCATTGCACTTCATCTAAAGCATAACACTTAAAGCCAGGGAATTACAGTTTTCTTAGCGCCAACAGAGAATTCTCAGCATTTTTGCGAAGGACACTTCTTGAGAATTCAGATGCTTATGTCAGACTAGTTTTGCTTGAATGTGTGGATGGCTTTCCTGTGGGTTGTGGGGTGCTGCAGGCCACTGTTAAACCAATATCTATTCAAAGATATTTTCCAGTTTCACAAAAGAGCTTCTATAGGTACTCCTTCTATCCTGGCATAAAGTATGGGAATTAATATTTCATAGCTACTTAATCCATCCATTCAGAAAGAGAAATGCAGACTTTCAAATATTTATGCTTCAGAGGCAAAACATGGCACATTGAATTAGTGCATTGTGCTTTATCCCATGCCACTGTCTTGTGATTCATTCCAGATCAGGTAACATTAAAACACACACATACCCTAAGAGAAAATGACAGCAAGACTGGGATATATTTTTGCTTTTGCCTACTGCTTTTTAAGGTGGGAGTGAGTGGGCAAGATCTCGTATCAAGGTTTAATGCCATTACTATTACATTTAAAATATATGTATGTAATTAAATATTGTGGAAGGATAAACCCTATATTTATTTTGTTAAAAGAATAACAAATGTAGAACAACAGTTGAACAGTTATAATTGTCTGAATACCAGGAGAATGTTAATCAATGGTCTGATTGACTAACAGAGATGCAAACATTGGCAGAGTCACAAAATAGAAAGCCAAACATTCATTCCAGGGTCATAAGCTAAACACCAGTGTCTGGAATACAAGGTTGAATCAGAGTGCCAAAGCTCAGGTTCAAAGTAAGTCCAGAGTTTAGGAACACAAGATAGCAAAAGTCTGAGGTTTTCGCTTCTAGAACAAATGTTGCAGACAGCAACAAGGTGCTCCTTAAATCCTAACTTCACAGGTGTTACCTGTGGCTCGCTTCTCAACTAATCTCAAGGACCTGCACAGTTGAGACCTCTCTTTTTGCAAGTACACAAAAGCTGGAACAGTTAACTCTTCCTCAGCTTGCTGAGAGGAACTCTCTTGCACTTGTTCTGCAGGCTGAAAAGTAGTGGGTGCTGGTTTCCATGGGTGCTGCTTCAAATCTTGGCTGAGAGGATTGCTGGGCACTGATGGACTCCAGCTCGACTGTTGAACCTTTCACCAGCATATCCTCACCTTCACTTTCAAAACTATCCATGACAATAACATCAATCACCTATTTTCCTATGGCCATCTGTCAGAGACATTAGTTTATTTGGGAGAAGGGAATCTTCAGACGCTATCAGCTGTTACAACCCACAGCATGTCTTCTGACTGGCAAGGCCACCTATATCTGATGGGAACTGAAATTCAACTGGCTTTGCAGGAGCACTGCTCCCCCAGCCCTATATGAACTAGTACTCGTACCTAGACTATAAAGACACTTACTGACACAAGAAGGCAAATAGGTTGCATTTTCTCTCCATCCTGGTCAGCTTTGTCTAGAATGAACACATGTCTTCTTTTACAGAGGACAGTTCTCCCTTTGAAGGTGTCATCCATGCCCTTCCCTTCCAACTCTATTTTAGAGCCAAAGGACCATAGATCTGAAACTTGAACTGAACAGGTATATCACTCACCTGGCCTTCTCTACTCAGGTAAAATGCATTGTAATTTTGTCAAAATTTCACAGTTAATAGATTCTAACATTTCATCTGTGTAAAAAAATACATAAATTAGCATTTGCAATTTTAAGTGTATATATGCCTCCCATTCTTCTCATTTGGGTAGTGTATCTCCTACTTTTTGAAGATATCTATGAAACTCTCATGGCATTCCCATGCACAATCATAGGTACTATATAACAAAGATGATACTGCTTAGAAGAACAATGGTGGGGAACCTGAGGTTTTCCAGATATATTTGGATAACAACTCCCATTATTGACTACAACTGAGAAAAGTTGAGGTCCAGTATCATCTAGAGCAGTGTTTCTCAAACTGTGCTCCTACAGATATTTTGGACTTCAGTTCTCAGAAATCCCAGCCAATTTACCAGATGTTAGGAATTGTGGGAGCTGAAGTAAAAAAAAATTGGAGAAGCACAGTTTGAGAAACTCTGATCTAGAGAACTGAAGGTTCTCCATCCCTCATTGCTGACATATTTTTGGTTCTTGAATGAACAAAGACAGAAGGCATAGATGATGGGAAAACAAGCAGTCAGAGTGCCTTACAAATCGTTAATTTGCTCTCAGGCTTACAATCTAAATAAGATGCAACAGAGAAGGTAAAGTGAATGGTAATAAGGAAGGGGATTACACCTGGTAGACATTGCTGCTTCATTTCTTCCTCCAAGGCCAGTGTAGTGACAGTTGGGATGGGGGGGGGTGTCCTTCCTTTTTAAGGAATCCTTGAGATCTCCCTTGTAACCTCTCTATCATTTCTCCATGAATGCCACTTTATTCTTTATTCAATCCAACTTAGTTCTTCCATTTTTGTCTCCTCGAGATGATAGCAGATATGATTAACATAGTCTTTTATTTATTACGTAGTGAACCATGACTTTGGTAAATCTGAAAATCTTAATCCATGCTGTCTTTAATCATTCATGAGGTTTTTGGAAAATAGTAAAAACTAAACCTTTTAATATTCATGTGTTTTGTTGTTGATTTTTAAAATGTTTGGTGTTTCCCAGTTGGGCAAGAGAACAGGCCCTCACAGTTAAAGACAGTGGGGTGGTCTCTCACCAACTGCTGTTGTACA